TCTCTCTCTCTCTCTCTCTCTCCCTTCACCTCCTCCTCTCTGCCCCCTTTCACTCTCTTTCCTTCTCTCGCTATCTCTCTCCCTCTTTGCCCTTTTCTGTCACAAAATAAATAAAACATTTCAAAAGTCAATACGTACCCCAAACTCCCCAATCCTTTTCTTAAAATGTCATTCCAAAATTCATATTATTATCGTAATATCAAACTCTTTCAAATTTTATTTCCAATCTGATAATTATCCCCTGGCTTTAATCCTATCTCAAGAATTAAATTATAATGTTACTTTTTTCCATATTCATGAAATTAATTAAGATGATTCAGAATCAAACCTCCTCAAGGGTGGTTGGTGGGTGTTCTGGTGTGGTTTGCTCCCTCTTTCCTATCAAACATCTATCGTCCTTATCTTTCCTCCTTTTTGTGTTTGTTACTCAACTGAATCACCTCTAATCTTCCGCACTTATATGACCTAATTGTTTTGCAAGTGCCATAAAGCTCTAACTAAAACTAAACTAAATCTCCTCTGTGTTTTATTGAAATCTAATGCTCTTCGCTAAACCTAACCATCACCTGAGCTTAATAATGACGGTATCCCCGAACTCCAAATTGGAGAACCTGGGCACACGGAGCAGACTTTTGCCGTCAAAGTAGCCTGTGTTGTCAATGACCTTGACCCCGTCCACCTGGATATAGTTGTTGTTCCCTGACTCGTCCACGATGTTCCCATTGAAAGGAATGTATAGCTCAGCTTTGCATTCTGAGGATTTAAAAAAAAAGCCTTAAAAAATGATTATTATTATTGAGTATTATTACGCCTCGATCAATACAATTCAGATCACTTATGAGACGGGAAACCGACCCTGTCTGTCAGGGTTGATCCGGGCTGAGAGTGATAGAACATCCCGGAAGAAAGACAGAGTGCTGGATCAAAATAATTTCCTCTCCACTGGGGACTCGAAACTCATGTCTCCTGCATGCGGCAGTGAAACGTCTAATCACTGCACCACTTTCACAGACGCAATATTAACACTTTGCGGTCACACAGTCAACAGTACAAATTATCCCATCTGGTCACCCGGCCAGGAGAGCGACTGCCACGAACTTCTCGGCCGGAACGGATTGTTTTCACGGGCGTATTATTGCGCCAAGTGACTGCAAAGTGTTAAGTCACTCTGATGAAGAAGAGGGCAGAAGTAACTAACGGTAATAGAATAGTAGAACTATCCCTATCTTACATCACTACAGTCACAGACCGCTGTTTCCTGTTCCTGCAAGACAGGGTTCACCAAACTACGGCCTGAGGGGCATATCTGGCTAGTGTGGTCAGTTCGTCTGTCCCTCCCACATGTCCCACTACTGGTGCGTGCGTCTGCCTATCACCACTTGTGTCTATAATACCTCAGATTTATCTGCTATGCTAAAAGTAAAAAATGAAATAATTCTTTTCCTTTTGATAGGGTGTTGTACTTCTTAAAATAGGCATTTTTACGCCCCAATCGACACAAATGGGGCGTGTGAGTATACCCCAGTCAGAAGAATCAATCTGTGATAATACATCGTTGTTTTTTTACAAATACGTTATTTTTAC